ATATTTTTATAGCTTTACTGTTTTTGTACATGTAAAATGTTTGGACCAGATATTTTAGATGAAGTCATTCTTCACGACGACAATAAGAACCAAACAGATGAAGTTATTCTTCAAGACGACAATAAGAACCGAACGGACGCAGTCATTCTTCAAGACGACAGTACTAATGAACAGGTAACTTTATCGAAACATTCAGCTTACACCGAAGAGCCAACAAAAACAGCAAGAGAAGATGGACTGAACGATCCAGCCAGCACATTAACTTCGACAATACATTTTCTAGTACCTGTATCACAGAGAACCAAGGGTGTTACTACACATCACACTACCGAGATCCCTAAATATCCAACAACAAAGGAGGAGACCACCATACGATCTACAATATATAATTTAACGTCGACTACAACAATGTCCCCCCGCACAGCAATTACTTCAGACCCTCTCATGGCTGTAGTTCGAATAGCAGGTGCCTTGAAAATTATCAGAGGTATCAGCTGGAAGATAGAACTTACCAGAAGATACACGGAACATTACATTAGTCTTTCCTCAACATTAAAGAACTTGGTATGTCATTTCATTTCCTTATATTAGACACAAAATTAGGTAAACACGATGGCTTACAGCAACCTGATTAATTATTCAAGCACGTTTTAGATTATTTATTAATGAAGGGAAAATTAAGATTATCTGGTCAAAACATTTAACATGCACACAAACAGCTAAGTTAGAAAAATATGTGACCCCAAAATTTCAAATGTACACAAACAGCAATACTATAAAAATATCTGTTCCAAACGTTTTACAATTACAAAAACAGCCAAGTTAGAAAATATCTGGTCCAAACATTTTACATGTACAAAAACAGTAAAGCTATAAAAATTGTGACCCCATAATTCATTTGTAAACAAACAGCAATACTATAAAAATATATGTTCCAAACATTTTACATTTACAAAAACAGCCAAGCTAGAAAAATATCTGGTCCAAACATTTTATGTGTGCAAAAACAGTAAAGCTAGAAAAATATCTGGTCCAAACATTTTATGTGTACAAAAACAGTAAAGCTATAAAAATATCTGGTCCAAACATTTTACATGTACAAAAACAGCCAAGTTAGAAAAATATCTGGTCCAAACATTTTACATGTACAAAAACAGCCAAGTTAGGTTTGGTTCTTATTGTCGTCGTGAAGAATGACTTCATCCGTTTGGTTCTTATTGTCGTCGTGAAGAATGACTTCATCCGTTTGGTTCATATTGTTGTCATCAGAAACAACTTGATTCGTTTGGTTCTTATTGTCGTCGTGAAGAATGACTTCATCCGTTTGGTTCTTATTGTCGTCGTGAAGAATGACTTCATCCGTTTGGTTCATATTGTTGTCATCAGAAACAA